TTTGAACCGTCTCCATCACGGAGGCATGATGAGTTTCACTTCTTTTTGTAGTCAAATGCTTGGATGAGCTTGAAAATGACTTCTTTAATTATATTCAAGAACATAGATGTCAGAACATAGATGTCAGTTGAACAGACAGGCATGCAACACATGTTATAGCACATGGAAGACTTACTGATAGCTTTTGCTTTCTGTTTTGATTTTCGTTTTCCATTATTTTCTGCATGTGTCAGGGTATTTTGCAGTTGATAAAGACTCAACTCCTGAAAAGCTCATATTCAATCGAACAGTCACGCTGAGAGATGGCTATAATAAGAGCAGTAAGTAAGTTCAAAATTAGGGAAAAAAAACAAATGGTCTCATAATGCATCCCTTCTTTCAAATCAAATTTTTCGTAAATATTGTTTAGATCTTGTAGAAGAATTAAATGTGCTTCGAGTCTTGTGTAAATCATTACGACTGAGACTTTACCTGGAAAGAACTTATGCCTCTTTGATTCGAGATTGTTTTGACCGAAAATTTGAAGGAAAAGAAGTGACCACAATGTTTACGATAAAGTCTTATGCAAATGATTTGACATTCTGTTCTCTGTCTAACTTTTTTTTTAATTAATTAATTAGTTAATTATTTTTATGGCAGAATATTAATCAAAGAAATCTCCCCAACTTCTTACCTGAATTTCACTTTTGCCATCATTTTTTCCCTTCAATTTTATGCAATGCTCAAGTTGAAAAACAAACGCAGACTATATTTACAACAGTATATTTATGGACGAAATCCGACCTTCCAAACCATCTTTCAATATATTGTTCCATAAATAAAGGATGAATATAAATTCTCAAGCTCTCCAATAAAAGCCCCTCCCTTGAATGTTCTTTGTACTCTGCTTTCTCAAACTTAAAATGAAACAGCGAACTTATGAATCAATGTCATGAACGGTAATGCAACCAATGCTAATCCTCAATCTCCATCAGACTTAGGCCCATAGAATTTTAAACGTAATCAACTAACATCATCATTTCAAAGAGGTGAAAAAAGGTTTCATTCATTCTTGAGATGAATAATTAGAGAATGAGATCCAAAATTTAGTATATATTAGTTTGAGACACATTTCTAATATAGGATAAGATTAAATTTTTATTAAAATATATATTTTTATAAATTTGTCCAAAACTTAAAGAAAGTAAAATGAAAGATCTAAAATTATAATGATGGAAGCAAAATAAAATTAGGTAAAAATTTGAAGTTTAAATGAATTGAGTGTATAAATATTTTGTGACACTTTTTTAGCATATAATAATAAGATAATGAGCATAATAAGGGAAACAAATAACAATTTGGTTTTACAAAGTTTATAATGAAGTAAACGATTTAGATTATAAGGACCCTATGAGCTATTGCAATAATAGCTAAACGACATTTTCTTTTTAAATATGAGAAAATATTTAGACAAATATACCATTGCAACAAATTAGGAAATTAAAAGTTTTTATTTAGGGATTCAAATTTTTATTAATAGCAAAAACAATTGACTTAATATTAGAGAATTAAACGTTTCTAACAAAAAATAAATAAAATAAAATAATTATCTTAAATCTGATTTAAGGTTACTCATTAGAATTTGAAAGTAGATTTTAAAAAAAATGGTAAGACTGTATTTAGACAGATTTTGAAATTTAACCATCTAAAACAGAAAATTTTTAAATAGGAGAGTAAATATAATTAAGGAATAACCCATCTAAAATAGACAAGTTACCATTTGAAAACTAGGGAGGAAAAAGAAACCGCCAAAATGGATCATATAATAGGACTCGGTAGTTGGGCCCCGTCCATTAGTTCTCTCGGGTCCACTTTAAGCCCAGTTGGACTTTCAATTGCCACATACGAAGTGCGTGAACTCCAGACGCGGAGCCCAAGTCGACATGCTGCCACGTGGGCGACCGTGATGGGATTTCTCGGCGCCTCGTCTCAGGCGTCAAGACCGTACGTAACTTTCACGTCCATTCCACATAGTACCTTTCCCTCTCTCCCTCTCTAAATACACGACTCTTCTTCTTCTCCTTCTTCCCCCTCTCTCTCCTGTCCAAAATCCGTCCGCCATTTTCACTCTCGCGAAGCTAGGCGATGGCAGAGTATTTCTTCTCCTAGGGCTCGGTCCCAACTGTTCGTTTTCTTCTTGTTCCGGTGCTGCAACTTTTGATCAGAATGTATTTTTTGTAGAGAGATGCTGCTCTGGCTCCGCCGTGGAATCCAGTCTAAGGTTTCTTGGTTTTACTTTTGCATTTTACCTTATTTGCGCTAGATCCTAGGGCTGGTTGATTCGAGATTTTTATCTCAATTTTATCGTTTCTGTGTTYTGTAACTTCACGGTTCACTAGGATTGTTTTGTTTGARGTTTGCTCCACCATGTTGTGTTTTTGYTGAATAATTTGTGTTGTGAGCTACGGAAATCGATGAGAGATTGGCGAGGGGGAGAGTATTTGTGTTCTTGTTTCGTTTGAAATTTACTGACAGCCGCACAGTAAGTCTTTGAAGTTCGCGACCTTTCTCGGTCCCCGATCTTCCTTGATGCAACTTTTGAGAACTGGTTTTTCAATTGTTTTTGCTTTAAATCATGATGGTAAAGTGCCAACGTTCATTTTCCACCAGTTTCTCTGGACCCAAAAAATTCATATATTTTGTTCCCCCTTTTTCCTTTTATCTTTCTTTTACTTTTTTGGTCCCATTGACCTTTTCGTTTCCCTGATCTTATTTTAAACGCAAATCAAATACTAATCATACAGATATAACTGAAACAATCAACAGGATTTCAAAACAAGTTTGAGTAATTAAAATTTCCACGCTATCCTAAGCATAGACATGTTTTTTTCCCTTCAAATCGGTGACCTTGTTTCATGATTTTTTTTTTCTCTAACTCTACCTGTAATGACTAATTCTTGATTGATAACTATGCAATGGGCTCATGCTGATCGGCCTGTTTGTCACATTGTCTGCTGCAAGCCTCAATTGATTTGGATCAATTGTATTTCCATATCATAGCCCAAGTTTCCAGAGAAGACAACAAGATGATGTGAATGCGGAGAAGACTGGCTTGCTACTCAAGGGATCGAGCGGTCAGCCTTAACATGGACGCCCAAGAGAGTAAGCCTGAACTTCCCTTTACTATTTTCAGCACCAGTAGCATTCGCCTATCTTTTTCAAAAAGCACTCAATTATTATTATTATTTTTGGCTTATACTTGATTTTAAGATAATATTTAAAAGTTTCTGAGGTAGCTTTATGCTTAATTAATATAAATCTGACGTTATCAATTCAAAAAGTTGCTACTATAGATTTTGAATCTGAAAAATTAGGAATAACTCCACATGCCACTGGGGCATTTTTTATTCATGCATGACTAGCCATATCAGTTTGAAATGCACTCACCACGTCCACATGCTACGAATGATTTTTTTCTTCCTTCGTATTTATTTATTGCTAAGAAAGGTTATGGGTGAATTTTGAAACGAAAGGGGGCGATGATCATGATAGTGGGCTAGGTAGAGAGTAAAAAGCGTGTCTGTTAGGGTTTGGTAAACAGAATAAGGGGGACTTGAGGGAAACGATAGGTCCAGAGCGTCAGATCTTGTGAAAAGGAGTAGTAGGTGTAGAAGGTAGATATTACTACCAAGTGTTCCCCTGTGTCTTATTAGCATGACTAGACTCATTGCTAGTTCCGTGCAAATTATGGTGCCTTCATTTATGATTCTAAACGCACTATTTATTGTACTCTTGGACGTCCAAACCGAAATGGTGTTGGGTTTTTGGTGTTATGTTATAC